ACTATTACTAACAAAACTGATTCTTCCAAGGTATAAATGAAAATTCCAATGACTTTTGCTACTATAACCTTCCCAAGCACCATTTTTTTTCTAGGCATTTCACTCAGAAAAAAAAAAATACATTGTATTTCAACAATCCAACCGATCATCTTTTATGTCTTCTCTCAAAGATCGTATCTACAAAAAATAACCAAATCCAAAACCATTTGAACGTTGGATTAAATGGTAGTCATAATAATGTTTCTTTCAAAAACCGTATTTGTCTATTTTTTTCAATACAATTGGATGTCTTAATAGTTTTGGACTAGTCTAATTTTTTACAAAGATAATCAATGAATGATGTACAGAATCATTGAAAAAAGTTACAAAATAAACACCACAAGTGTACTTCAAATAAAATGATTTTAAAAATCCCTTAAAGGAAGGGAAGTCTCTATATCCTCAATCAATATGTGTGTATGTATTGTGGTAAAAGACTAACAGTCCCAACTAATTCAAGAAAATGGAGTACCAAGCAAGGTGGAAGTAATCTAATATTTTCTTAATCATTCTGTTCTAGATTTCAATAACTCCTCCCCCTCTGACCGTTCTCCAGTAGAAAAGAAAGGTTGAAAAGGATTTCCCCTTTACAATTACAAAGATGTGAATTTAACTACAATATTTTTATGTATTTAATACATCCATCATTTCAATTGTTAAATGATAATAGTATTATATATATTTTCACATAATTATATTTAATCGTCAAATGATTATAGCCAATCCCGAAAGATATATAGCAGATTCACATGTATAAATATTTATATATATGTATTTTGGGTAATAAAGAGGCTAATTGTCATAACGAAATGATAATTTGCTTCCTATAATATAAGTAGCGATCACAATCAAATTAGGGTCAGCTTGTCAATCATATGGGAAAGTTGCCACCATCCGCAGCTATGGGACCGTTATTCCATAACACGATCATACAATTCTCTCCACACCACTACTTCCGCATACAAAGAACAAAGTTTGTACTATTATTATATAATATTATATGTTGCCGGCTAAAGAACAAAGACAAATTTTAGTCCTATTTAGGTTAATCAGTACCATTTTATTAATGATATAACATTTTTTAAATTATCGTGCCAGTTATTATAATTTCAAAAAAAAGAGAGATGACAGTATCAATGATATGTATTACTTTTTCATATGTCAATTTGTCCGCTAAATAATAGCGCACTTATATCTTACTCAAGTCCGTAAATATAGCAAAGCAACTGGGCCAATATTTACACAATATAGATTGAGTTTCTTTCCGGATCTCACACTCTAGAGTCTGCAGACCGACTAATTCGAGCTGTTTAATTTAAATCTTGCGATCTTCATTAGTCCATCCACTGTTCCACCTCACGCACAATCTCTCTCTCTCTCTCCAACGTCCATATATCTCTTTCTCTTGAAGGGTTTGGATTGCTTTGTGGACTTTGGAGTGTGAGATCTGAAGAGGATCTCAATCACACAGTATGTAGGACTCACCAGAAAACAGTAATATTATATTCTTATTGTGAGAGTCTAATGCACTATTATGTGTATACAAATGAATTTTATGAAGAGTCAACCTAACCAATGGTGTTTCGACCAAAAAAAACAAAAAAAAAACCTAACCAATGGTGTTAACCGCCCTCTAATATTTTGGTCGCCTGTTCTTTTTGCCACAACATACATATGAAACAACTTTTCTTCCTCCATCAACGATTTTACGATCCTCGATCACCCTATATACCTAGTGATATATCATTCAACATTATTTTCAGGTTTTTTTATGTGAACGCTTGATCACCCTAAGGGACATTCTTCCTAAGAATATTCTATAAATACATTTCAACGATCAGAATAATTTAAATTTTAGATTCTCATTTAAGGGTTATTTTGGTAAAAAAATCATTAAATCCAAATTTATGGTGGTTTAAAACGTACAAAAAATAATTGGCCATTTAGCTGATTTTTGACAAAAATAACCTTTAAAAAGAATATCTAGAAATTAAACAGTTTCGATCATTATACCATGCACACTCTAAAATAAGATGTTTTCAAGAAAGTTCGCATTGTATTAACAGGTGAGAGGAGAGTGAAAGCAAAGAGTAGAGTTTAAGTGGGATGGCCACAAGGGTATAGTGTACACGTCACACTGGTTGATCGTGCTGGCTAATCCTTCCTATTCCACTCCACTACAATTAAAACAAAGAATTTTATGCTCTAGTTTCTTCTATGCTGAAATCACCAATTCACCGCCACAAAATATAATCTTGTTAATTATGCTAATCGAGGCACATGATGCCATCTCCCACTTAACACATTTTTTGGAGAAAGATTTGGCTCTTTAAGGTTGAGAAGAACTTTTCTAATAATAAGACCATTTAGTCATCGAACTGTATAAAAACAGATGAATTGATTCGGTAAAAATATATAAACTGTGTATCTATTTTCTACAATTGATTGACTAAATGATCTTAGTTTTAATTGATTTTTTTACAGAGAGATGACCTCTACAAAATAATTTATAATATAAATTGTTTCGATTGTGGGAACAAAGTTCTATAAATAGGTCACGAGTATTTTCATATGGAACTTCTCATGAACCTTAAGGACCCAAGCTCTTCTCTTATTTTTAGAGGTGTGATATCCATACACCCTTTTTTACTTCTCTCACACCTTTTTGGTTTTCGACCGTCGGATCGGATGAATTAAAGAAGATCACGGACATAAATTAACAAGGGTGTATAAGAAGTAAAAAGGGGTGTGTGGAATAGCACACCCCTATTTTTATGATGAAGACTTCTCTTTAAACTTGTATGGCGCCTGCCAAATCGTTGATATTGAATCAGAGGAAAAGCCAACATTTTAATGTAGATATCGCATGTGCTGTGTTGTTAGAGAAGTAAACAAGATTTGTGGTCTTGGTAAATGGTTGCTATCTAGCTGGTATGAAGTTTGCTCTTCTAGCAAATGCACAAAGCATAAGGGAAAAAATAGGAAGAACACGACGAATAATGCAGATATTCAACACAAACACTCATGAGCTCTAGTAAAGTGGAAGATTCTAAACTCAAATCTTGATCATTATGCTAGAAACCACTATACACGATATATATATATATATATATATATATATATATATATAGGTATTATAGGAAGAAGAGTTTTCTTCTTCTTTTCTTTAAAGGAAATGAACGGAAATAGGGTTAAGAGTATCTCCAAGGAACTAGCTAAATGCATGTTGGGGCGCCACATCAGTAAAAATTCACTTCAGTTAACTAGTTAAATATGCACTAGCTAGGCAAATGCATTTTGGTGCACCACATCAGTAAAAATCCACTTCAGTGAACTAGCTAGATAAACATGCCCTAGCTAGGCAAATATATTTTGGTGCGCCACATCAGTCAAAATTCACTCCTGTTAACTAGATAAATATGCGTAGGCAAAAAAATCCAGTGTCAAAACCATTTTGCCTTGTTGAGTAAGGAAAATTATACCCTAAATTTTTTTTATACAACGGCATATTTACATTACTAAAAGGTAAGAGAATATAATTATGCAAATCCAAACACGATCATATCATATTTTCTAGACATTTCTCTAACAAATTGACTAATCCATTATAGTGACAAGTTTTTCATGAGGCAAATACTGAAGGCAAAGTGCCGCATAGGCCACTCAGAGTATTTATTTGCATCAAAATGTTTCCTCATCCCTTGGAGATGCCCCAAGAAAGAAAAAGTATGCATGAATGAGAAAGTGGGTTAGTAATCCCTAGCGTTAGCCTAAGCAGTGAGGACGAGTATAAGTTAGAATAAAAGTTTTAAGGCTTCGTTACTTTACTACTCTTGATTTGAAAAAATTAAAAAATTTATAATAAATACAACTAACACCTTATTTGATTGACAAAGAGAAACGTTTTAAATAATCACTAGCAATTCTGAATAAATAAGCCTGTTAGATTAAAAAAGAGATTTGTGGTAAGACAAAAATGAAGCAGTGAGAGAAAAGCGTAAATCCTAGAGTATAAAAAAAAGTTTCACATCATATCAAGTTAATAAACTTCGAAAAATCTTCATAAGCCGGAAAAATATAAATCTACCAAAGCATTAAACAAATTCCTCAGAGTATGTAATATCTACCAAATAAAATGAATCTACCAGACCATATATCTTCTCATTTTAATTGAACAAAAGGGAAAGTCTTAAAGTAGCTAGGGCACACTTAGGGCACACTTAGGGCACCACTAAGACCTAAAGTACAGTTTCTTCCTATTCTATTACTTTCCAAGCTTTGTCCTCATGTGCTTTAACTTTCCCTTGGCTTCTACACCTCATATGGCCACTAGCTAATATTGTCAAGGGTCACTAACTAACATCCATAATTGCTCAAATTGGAAGAAGAAGCAGCTAACTAGCTAGTGATCTCCATCAGTTTATTCCCCTTTTTCCACACCATACCAAGAGAAAGCTAATCTTCTTTGTGGAAACATTCATATTTAGATTGTAACGTGGAATAATGTTCTCCTATTACATTTTTCCGTCAAACAAATACTTATATTGACATATTATAAATTTGATTTACACAAGAATCAGCTACACTAAATACCTCAATTTCACAAATTCCTCACAACAATCAATTGATTGGTGATTAAATTTGTATTAATTTTGATGAAGATGATCAAGTGATTGTGTAGCGCCTTCGCTCGTATGATTGGCTAGTTAGAAGCCTATGATATGAATACATATTATGAGAGTTGCACCAACAGATCAATCTCTTGCTTCGATTATTGCATTCAAAGTGACATCAGATCGATAAAGTGCCTTATCACAAAAAAAGCATGCGTGGAACACATGGACGGTGAAGATGGCAAGATGCATTATCATCAATATTATAATCACATATATACAATAATCATAGTCACTCAACATGGAAATGGGTAGTATATATATCAGTACTGGACAGCAAAGCTTCTATGTATAAAAAGAAGAAAACAGCAGGAGAAGGAATCAGAGAGACAAAGGCCCAAGGGAATTGAAAAAGAGAAGAAAAAAGGGAAAGGAATCATCAAAGGAGCATAATTGTTAGTGATGAAAATGGTGCAAGATCAAGAACAAATCAGAAAGGGGCCATGGACTGAGCAAGAGGACTTCCAGCTGGTCTGCTTTGTGGGCCTGTTTGGAGACAGGCGATGGGATTTCATAGCCAAAGTTTCAGGTTTGAAGGTGGCGGGAGACAAGTAATAGGTATGTTGCAAGGAGCTACCATTTAACCAACATATGTATGGTGTGGTTTTGTTACTTGTAGGTTTGAAAAGAACTGGTAAGAGTTGCAGGTTGAGATGGGTTAATTACTTGCATCCTGGCCTCAAAAGAGGAAAGATGACTCCTCAAGAAGAGCGCCTTGTGCTTGAGCTTCACACCAAATGGGGAAATAGGTTTGACCTAAACAAACAAACCATCTCAATTATTAATTCATGTTTTTCGTCATTTGTTTTCCGTTATCTAAACATTTCAATCGTCCGACTCTAACATGCTATGTTTCCAGACTATGATCAGGACAAAGAAATTATATTTAAGTCCGGAACATAGGATTTTGATTCACAACCTTATAACATAAATATCCGGAATTTTCTTAGAAACCCTAAATTTCAGTTCTTCTGAATTTGAATTTACTTGACATAGAATGAAATTTTTTGTGCAGGTGGTCACGAATTGCTAGAAAATTACCTGGGAGGACAGACAATGAGATCAAGAACTACTGGAGGACTCATATGAGGAAGAAGGCGCAAGAGAAAAAGAGGGCAGTGTCTCCCTCATCATCTTCTTCCAATTGTTCCTCCTCATCAAACATCACCACAGCTGAAGGAGGGGCAAGCTTCTACGACACCGGTGGGAAGGAAACCAAAGCATTATCAGGAGGAAAGAAAACTGGAGGAGGAGACGACGCGAAAGAAAACGAGAAAAGGGAGCAAGGGGAGTACTCACTAGACGATATATGGAAGGACATCAATCTGCCAGAAGTGAACATTATTGAACCAGTTTATGATGGCAACCTTTCTTCTTGTCCTCTAATGGCTTCTCCAACGCCGTGGGAATACTGTTCCGACTTGCTTTGGAAAATGGATGAAGAAGAAGAGAGTAAGAATATGTTTCTTCCTACACCAAGTGGTGATCACCAATTTCTGTCATGCTATGAATATGGAAAAGCATCTCTAACTGGCTGATGATGATTAGGATTTGATTTATTAAGATTTGTTCATATGTGAAATAGTGTTTAAATTAAGGAAAGCTTCTAATCTGTATAATAACATGGGTCTGATCGGCTGCACCAGCCAACCATCAGATGCAGATCACTTTGTTTTATGCATTACTAGTACTAGAGGTGGCAAATCAACTTATCGGATTGTTAATAGATATCAGTTAAGACATTTTTGATTTGATTTTACCATAATATAGAGGTGAGATTCATGATGGTGATGATGGTTTACGGTAAAATCAAACTAAATAGGTCTTAATGGGTATCCATTAACAACCAATGGGTTAATTTACCACCTCTGTAGTTCCTGTTCTCTCTTTGTCTTGTGTGTTTTTCAATTTTCAGTGAGATTAAGGAAACAGAGAACTTCAAAGCTTCCTATCATGTTGGTGTGGCATGTCCATGGAAGTATATTGTATATATGCTTTTGAGGTTTAATTTTGAATGAAGTTGGTGTAGTCTACCATATAAATTTTCTATTTTGATTTCGCTTATATATATGTTATATTATGGAAACTATATATATGCAAGGTTTTACGGAAATATATAGGGCAACGGAAAGTATGCAGACATTGTTGAAATTGTTCTGACCAAGTACAAACACTACCAAAGTTGCTTGATGGAAAATTGGAAATGATACTAGATTATCAGAGCTAGAGAAACCATAAAAAGGAATTTTATTATGCACTCATATCAAACCCATTTAACCATATTTCAAGAAGAATCTTGAATTATGAGAATGAGAACCTTTTTTTTTGGTAAAATGAGAATAAGAACCTTTCATGAAAGAAATTAAAAAGGTTCTACTATTATAGCTTTCCCAGAGATACTGTTTCGCTTTTATTTTTCAGTGGGAAAAATAAAGCTACAACTTTGTCTGCAACAAGAAAAGTAGACAAATTCTGGGTGTTATGAATTAATTACTAATTAACTGGTTTTTCATTGAACCTAATTAACTGGTTGAAAACCAAGAATTAGCATATGAACAAAGTGGGGTGGAATGAATTAATTGGGACAAAAATTTATAAAACAACGCTTAATCTTACTAAATGAGATGCTTAGTTTTGCGCACATAAATTTATAAAAGTATGATAAACGAAGAGTACACATGCTACTCAAGCTACCTCACCCAGCATGGGGAAAAACTCCTTTTGAGGAGTGGTCCAGAAAACATGGTCTTGTTATTAATCCTTTTGTTAATTAAACTTGTACTTTAGTGGTTATATGTCCAACAGTCCAAATCCATTTTCTATAAAATTTGTTTAATTATATATTAATAGAGTAGTGGTCCATTTAGAACCGCACAAACATATTCTCCAGTAACATCAACTTGTCATGCGCAAAAACCATTTAATATTTCATCATTTCATCTCCTAATGAATTAAACTCAGAAAGCATTTAGCTGGAGATCTCCTAATGATCTTGCAAATTTAGCCTCAAATCTTTCAAGAACACAGTTTGATTGCTTTACTTATTTTTTCTTTTTTGAATATAACCACTTCCTCAGTTTACAATATCAGACCAATCACAAAAGGCAGAAACTATTTACAATATCAGACCAGTCACAAAAGGCAGAAACTATCTATCAATGTGGAAACATGATTCATACACAGGTCTTTATTAGAAAGGATCTCCATTTTTGGTTAAAAATAGGGACTAATTGTATGGCTCACTCCACATCGAACTTCAACTATTCGAATTGTCTATTTTGTAAGTCTCGATTCATAGATCATTCTTGCAAAAATTCAATTTAATCCAAAACTATTTGCCTATTTACTTATCACGATGAAATTTCATTGTTTCTTGTAGAACAAAGTGTTCGTCAATTTCTTTGAACTCAATTCGATGTCTTAAATATTTCCGATTTAGTTAAGGTTATGTGAGTGGAACCCACCTTATTTTGCATGCCATGGTTCGCCTCATTTTGCGTGAGCTGAGTTCGCCTTGTTTTGCATGCGTCGAGCCTGCCTAACACCCATGTTTTCTGACAAAAATGCAAATTTTTAATTTAGCAAAATATTTTTCCTGAACATTAAGTTAAACTTTCTAAGGAATTTGGAAGTAGTTTTATTGTTTATTAAGTAACAAATGTATATTTAGTGGAATACTTTAGTCGAAAACTAAAACAATAAGTGAAAAATATAGTAGTGAGCCCCAGAACATTGTCAAATGGGGTTCTACACTCAAGAATCTCAATGGAAAGCCTCACCTTAATTTTCAAAACTTCACATTGAGGCGAAAGAGAAAATAAAAGAATTGAACGATGATTTATGTACGAATTTGCAAACCCGACTGAAAACCGTAAGTGTTAGTTAATCCACGTTTTTTGTAAAAAATGCAAATTTTTTATTTTCTCGAAATATTTTCCATGAGTATTAAGAAAATCTTTATAATGTATATGGAAGTGGATTTACAATTTATTGAGCAACAAAATAAGTGAAAAATATAGAGATGTTAAAATGTATATTTAGTGTATACTTTTTAATTTAAAAAAAATAGAGATGTTAAAATTACCTATGGGTGAGGCTTAAACAAAAAATAACAAAATTTTGTTTTGTTAAATAGTCTTTTACCCTCTTTTGGTTGACAAAGAATGTTCTATTAGTATATAGTTCATATCTAGATAAAAGGAAAATTAACAAAAAAAAGGTTCAAATATCTTTAAATTTAAATTTTAAATCGTTGATTACGAGTGTTTAAATACCAATTATAATAGATTTTGTACGGAAAAATATATTTTGAAGAACATGAATATGATAGTTTGTTGTAGTGGTAAGAGAAATAAAAGAAAAATTAACAATAATTTGGATTTACTTGTGGGATTTGGATCATTTTTGTTCATTTTTCTTTTATTTCTCTTACCACTACAACAAACTATAATATTCATGTTCTTCAAAATATAATTTTTTCATGCATGGAGCCCGACTCATTTTCTGGGCACCCAGAAGTTCATCTCATTTCGTGTGTGCGGAGCCAGCCTTGTCTTGTGTGCCTAGATTTGCCTTGTTCTACATGTGAGGTGTACGCATGGTTTTACGTGCCAGAAGCTCACCCATTTTTGCATCCACGGAGTTCGCGTCGTTTTTGCGTGCCAAAATCCGTTCATTATTTGTGAACGGAGCCCGCCTTATTTTTTGTGTCATGGTTTGCCTCGTTCTGCGTGAGTTGAGTCCGCCTCGTTTTGCATGTGTCAAGGTTGCCTAACACCCATATTTTTTTACAAAAATGCAATTTTTTTTTCGCAAAATATTTTTCTTGAGCATTAAGTTAAACTTTTAAGGAATTTGGAAGCAGTTTTACATTTATTGAGCGACAAATGTATATTTAGTAGAATATTTAAGCCAAAAACCCAAAAAAATAAGAGAAAAAAATAGTAGTGACGCCCAGAACTTTGTCAAATGAGGTTCTACAATCAAGAATCTCAATGGAAAGTCTCAACTTAATTTTTAAAATTTCACAGTGAGGCGAAGTTGAAAAGAAAAAGGTTGAACGTTAATTTATGTATGAATTTGCAAAACCGACTGAAAAAAGTGAGTGTTAATCCACGTTTTTTGTAAAAAATGAATTTTTTTTTAATTTTCCGTGAGCATTAAGGAAATCTTTATAATGTATTTGGAATCAGATTTACAATCTATTGAGCAACAAGTGTATATTTAGTAAAATATTTAAGCTCAAAAGTAAAAAAATAAGTGAAAAATACAAAGGTGTTAAAATTTATATTATTTATTTATTTTTTTAAATTCGATATGTTAAAATCAATCACCTATAGGTGAGGTTTAAAAAATAGCAAAATTTTGTTTTGTTAAATAATCTTTCACCCTCCTTGTGGCAACTTTGTGGCACCCGCAAGAATTTGGATCATTTTTGTTAATTTTTCTTTTATTTCTCTTACCACTACAACAAACTATCATATTCATGTTCTTCAAAATATATTTTTCCGTGCGTGGAGCTCGACTCATTTTCTAAGCATCCGAGAGTTCACCTCGTTATGTATGCTCGGAGCCTGCCTCGTCTTGTGTGCTTGGGTTCGCCTTATTCTACATGTGAGGTGTTCGCATCATTTTGCGTGGCAGAAACCCGCCCTTTTTTTGCGTCCATGGAGCCAGCTTCGTCTTCTGTGCGGGGTTGACCTCGATTTGTGCGACATATCCCGCCTCGTTTTTCATGCACGACGCTTACCTCGTTTTGTGTGCCAAAAGCTTGCCCCGTTTTTTGTGATATTTGAGACATCTAATTGAGTTCATTGTTTCTCAATTGAATCGTTGAAGTCTGACGTGATTTAGCAAATTGATTTGTGTTCCTTAAAGAATAGTGTTCCTTTCTTTCTCTCCCATACAAAAACTTGCAGAGAGTAAACACACAAATCAATTTGCTAAATCAGAAGTACCTCTTGGTTGTATCTGAAAATATATAACTCTTTCTTTCCAACAGTTGTGTCTCCTAATCAAAACGTTTATAACATTACTTAAAACTTAATCTGAAATTAAAATTATGGTATATACACAAGCCTAATCCACACAATTGAAAGGCCTAAGTCTTAATTCTCATTTCAAATGGCCCAAATCCTAATTACTAATATAAGAGACAAACCTAATATAGAACTGACCGAAAAATCGTGCTCTCGATGTGGAGAAATTAGTGTGGTACAGTAGTACCAACTACCATGTCACTAGTGATACTTCTATTCAAAATCTAATATGAAAATAAGGAATTTTAACGAAAAGCTTTTGGTACTGTTCACTTTAATGAAAAACTACATTTTACACTAAAAAGTCAATCCTATTACTATTCACTTTACCCTTTATTTTATTCTTATCGTTAAAACTCAAAGTTTTCAAACCCTTTTAATTAGTTTTCCTTATTTTTTTATACTGTTGAAAATCAGCTGGTTTTACTTTTTGAATTTAAAATTTAAAATTATGAAAACCGAAGAAAATTTAATAGAGAAAAACAGGGCAATAACCTCAGTTACGTTTGGTACGCAGACGGGACGGGACAAAACAAATGTTCTGTGTTATGTTTGGTACGTGCGGGACGGAATATGACAGTTGTTCCGTTTTGCATTTGGTAGCGCATGGACGGAATGGAACTAAAAGATTAAAATGACTAAAATACCCATGTTCCGTCTATTGTTTGGTACAATTTTATGCGTGGAATGGGACAAGACTTTATTATTATTATTATTATTATTTTTAAGTTGTTCAAATTTGAACACTATTATCCATAATTTGTTTTTCTTGGTCCAAATTTTAATAGGTATATGTTGTGTTCCACATGCAAACCCTTTAAAATTTGTAATTTATGTCTTCTATGATTTGTTGATGAAGTCAGACTTCCTCGAGCCAGTGAATATTGGAAGCAATGAGATTGTTAGCATGAATGAGATGGCTGAGATGGTTTTGTTCATGGTTGCCATGCAATGTTGAAAAATATATAAGTTTAATGATCATGCATGTCGTAAACGTTTTAGGGTTTAA